CGCAGCACAGAGGCTAGTAACGAACACAAAACACGGTCACTGGAGATGGGTTCTCCCCACACGTACACTTGCTAAAGCGATTTAATGCATCCCCTACAAACACCAGGCCGCTGGTGCGCTGGCCATTGCACAAAAGCTTCAAGAAAGGAGCTCTGGGATTGCTGGAGAAAGCCGCCGGAGCCAGCCCCTCACGCGGCAGCCTGAAGAACGTGGCCGCTTCTGCAGACTGCCGAGCCACCGGCACGGGAGGAGCGCAGGCCCCCGCGCCCGCGGCTCAGCAGATCTGCCCCAGTTTTGTACATTCACACTGGGGAGGGCAAGTCACTCGCCCCCGGGGCAACCCCGAGGAGACCGAACACCTACCAGCCCCCCTCGCTCTAAAAGCAAATATCAATTTCAAAGAGCCAAACTTGGTCTTAAAAAAGCCAGGCTTCTTGAGCCCAACAGCTGCCTACTTGTGGAAAATGGATGATCTACGATAAAAATACATCAAAAAGCATCTTTGATGTTTTTCAGCTGCCGGACAGCCAGGTCAACTGGGAGGTTGAATTTCAAGTTGCTCAGGCGACTGAGAACGTTGAGTGCGCTCTCAAAGCCTGTGTTTGCCATGTAGCTCCATGGCTGGTAGTGGGATTGTACCAGAGCTCCAGATTTGCAGATCAGATTTACCCAGGAGACCAGGCGCTGCTCATTTAGTGCCATACACACCAGAGCTTTCAGCTCAGAGTCTGCACTGCGCTTGAAGGGGTCATGCTCCGTGAGGACAGTGTGAATCGCTGTCAGCAGGCTCTGTTTGGGGGTAATGGCCACTCCTCCTGTCACAGGCAAGGCAAAGGACTGGGAGAGCTTGCGAGCCGGGGATTCCACAAAAGCTTGTCCATTCTTAGTGTTGTAATACTTCACAAAGAGTTCCCAGGGGTGCATGGTCTGCGGGGATGAGGTGAACGCAGGAATCAAGCACGCGATGGGTGCCAATACCAGGCTCATTCCCTGAGAAGAGGCATAGAGCCCGTGAGCCATCAGGTCTCGCAAAGCAATGGTCAACTCCTTCCGCACAGCTAGAGTCAGCTCATCTCTGCCTCCTAAGGGAATGTCCTGCAGATCGGAGGAACTGATAACATGGTCTTCCTGCTGGTGTTTCATAGCTAGCTGCCTCACCCGCTCTACTGACAACTCCAGTTTCTTAATTAAGGGGGAATAGTCCTTGCTGGCTTGGTCCTTCTGCCAGAGGGTGCGAGGAATCTGACCAGTAGCACAACCAAACTGACTGACAGCAAATATTTGTAGCACAGCAAGCATGCGACGCATGAGGTGCAGGCCTGTTTCTCGCATCTTTCTGGCATCTTCTGGGTTCACTGATCAGGTTAGAAAAGAGAAAAAAAAATACCCTCATTAAGGAATCAACAGCTCTGCTCTTTCATGCACACAAATGGAGCACAAATGTCTGCTCCTCCTCCGCCACGGATTCTCCTCCTCCTTGGGAGCTTTTGTCACTAGGACTGATGCTACTTTTTCTAGTTTCAAAGCACTGAAGCCACCCAGAAAAGCAAACAATTGCATGGCCTGCTCTCGACAATCAGGTCATCTTACAGAGAAGAAATCCTACAACAGCTTTCCTGCGTAGGCACATACATAGTGAGGAAAGATCATTCTTTAGACATGACGATATCACAGGGGTGATTAGGAGATACCAAAATTTTTGCTGAAGGAGATCACTGCCTACTTCCAAGAAGCATCTTGTCTCAGCAGGCTAACATCCACTGCTTACTCCTGATGCCATTATTAAATTCAATTTGCAAGAGTAGCCACACTGGGTAAGACCCAAAGTCCATCCAGGACAGTATTCTATCTCTGACTAGTGGCAGATGCCTCAGATTACAGAAAGTAAAGGTATTGTAGTATTTCCTCTGGTATACTATTCTAGCTCAAACAAATTCCTGTGAAAAGTAGAAAAGTCTCAAATTAGAAAGAACACTAGATCCATCCAGCTTACTGTATCTGCTCACAGAGGTAAGAATTCAGAGAGCATTAATTACAGTGCAGTCTGACAGTGCGTACAAGACAAGGCTGCTCAGTCTGTCTGCATTTTGTACTACGTATCAGAAGTCCCTTCTATTCCTGATCTCAGCTGAGGACCAATCCCACCCCCTGTGCCTGAACCCTAGGTTCTGTGACTACTCTAATGATCTCATGGAGGAAGGGTAAAGGAACTGGACACAGGCCTCCTGTCAGGGGGAGCAGGAAGGAACAGAAACCAACTGCCAGGAAAAAAGCAAAGCAGCCTAGCATGAGTGGATGCTGGTTCATGCTTGCCAAACCTCAAATGAGTGACAGCAGGAGCAGTGCTGGAAGCTCCGAGCCAAGCAGTGCCCACCTCTATTTCCAGAAGGCCGTGTATTTGGTTTGTAGGAGCCACCGCCATCTTTTCTGCCTGCACATTCACAGTGTCCATCTTCTGCCTTACCAGAACTTCCAACTTCATCTATAACAAGAATTTCACACTATTATTTCACACTTGTGAATTTAAGCTGCGTATCCCAAGTATTAAGGTCAATATTCCTGAGACCTCTGCACCTTTTTTGTCAGTCTCTTGTTCTCCCCACCATCAGTTCAGAGAGATCTGTACTTCCGCGTGACCCAGAAACCCTCCCTGCATCCTCTGACATCTGTGACCTCCCTCCTCATAACTTTGTCAGGGAATTACAAAGCAATTCAATCTGCTCATCTAAAAAACTCAGCACTGACCCTGAATGAAGTTGATGAACATTTCGAGGTCCCTTATCTGTGTCTTCAGTTGTTCCACCAGCTGCTCCTTCACCCTGGCTGGATTAACAATCTGTGCTATGGCAGCATCCACACGCTGTCGCAATTCCTCTGGAGAGAGCGTTGCAATATCTTCACTCAAGTCCATGTCCAGCTTCTTTATCAACTCATTTATAATCATCTGCAAAACATGAGTTAGTAGCATGGTCTCACAGTGTGGCGCTGCTGCCCATGAGCTTCAAAATACTCCTTTACCCATCCATTACCTTGGAAACAGGACACCTTTGCTGCACATAGAAAATTGCAAGAGAAGACACGGGACAGGTTTACACATGCAGATGAACTACTGATATCCTATTACAGCTGCTGTCGAGAAATAAGGACTGACCAACTCCTACAGTCTATAAGAGGCTCACAAATGCTAAGAAGAAATACAGGCAGAAGGACTTTGCGAGCCTTACCCGTTGTCTTTCCATAACCACAGACTGTGGCAGAGAATCATAGCTGCCCTCCTGGTAGGCAAATGTCTCCAGGTCATCCAGCTGTGTCTTGAGCTGCAGGATAAGCTCTCTCTGCTTCTCCTTCTGGACCTCAATTTGCTCCTGCTTCTCTCGCTCACTCTGAGAAAAAGTTACCAGTAAATAAAATGGAAGATTTACTGTCATAGTCAAGCCCCAGAGAACAGGATCGTGGTATGAGGAGCGTTTCCTTCAGCTCATGCACTATACTAGTGAACACTGCATGCCAGTCTGAGAAAAAAAGATGTGCCTGTACATCAAGGAGAGGTACCAGCCACATCACCTCATCTGACAAAGGAAGGGCCTCTCCAGACCTCCTGCACGCAAGCCCCGTCTCATAAGGCCGGGATCCAGGAAGCACTGCTGCAAGCAGCCAAGTAACGTGTACGTATCGGAGATGCTCTGAGTCACCACTGTATCTTGGAGCAGAGCAGTAACACACAAAGCAGGGCTTTAACGCGTGTCCCCATGAGCTGGCTGCAGGTCATCAAGGACCTGCATGCTCCTGTAACTGAGCTTCGTGCAAAACCACCGGCCCAGTCTCTCCCCGGAGCCGGCCGCAACCCACAGCGGAGCGTGCAGACCCTCTGGACAGTGCGGTGTTTGGTGGCCGCAACGGCCACCCCTCGCCTCAGCCGTGGAGCTCCCCTCCGCACGTCCCAGCAGTGAACAGGATCACAGCCGCCGCTAACGG